GTGCTGTGATGTGGTGGCCGAGGGAGGTGAGCGGAGCCTGCGTGGGGGACACGGCTGAGCAGACCTGTGCCTTGAAGCAAATGCTTTCAAGCTGCACACCAGGGCCTGCTGAGGGCAGGTTCTGAGAAGGTCCCAGGGCTTCTCGGAGCATCTGCTCTGCCAGCGCGGGAGAGGTGGTGTGGGGCCAGCTCAGCTCTGTGTCCCCAGGGGCTCCCGCCTTGGACATGGTCATCAGCCTCACTTTTCAGGAGAGGAAACTGAGACCCCAGGTAGGAGGACTTGCCCTTTAATGACCACTTTGCATTGTCCCTCTCTGAGTAGCAGGTGACAGAGGAGTGGCATGTGGATGACACACAGCTGGTCAACCCTGGATGGCTATGAGCCAGCCTGGAAGGAGCCCATGTGGTGGGAGGCGGTGGGAGAGGGCCTCTGAGCTGCCCCAGCTGGAACTTCCCTGGACCCCCAGACAGCAGAGGGCAGAAGGGACAGCGGCACCCAGAGACAGCTGCTTCTGTTCCTTTAATGGCTCGTGACTAGAGGTGACTGTCTCCTGTGAAAAGTGAGGCTGAGAACTTGGGGGTCAAGTCCAACCCCCAACTTGCCAACAGGGTGACGTCAGACAGGGTCCCCTCTCTCTGAGCCTCAGCTTCCTCCTCTCTGAGGAAGACCTCTGATACCCACTGCAGGGCTGCTGTGGGCTTCTGGGAAGTGGCCCTGGAGGATGCCCCAGGTGGGCACCACTGGACGTCTTCTCTGCCGTGTGCCCAGGCACTGTTCCAGGGCCACCCTGAGCCAGCTCGGCAGCTGTCACGTCCACCTTCGGAGCTGATGTGCAGACAAGGAGGTGGAGGAGAAAGGGTTAGAGCAGGTAGTGTCGCCCACAGCTGCTGAGGGGACTCCAGGCCAGCTCCAGATCTGTCCCCACTGTCCGCATGGTCTAGTTTAGTTGAGGGCTGGCGCAGGCCGGTGTGTCCCTGTGATCGTGCACGTTAACAACAGTCTCTGGTATCACCGATGCCAAAGGAGCTGCTCCTCATTTTGTCCTCACAAGCACCCAGGAGGCACCCTGTGGCTTAGGTCTGGAACTGAGGCTCAGAGATGGGGTGGGGTGTGCTGCTGACATGGACTGGCAAAGCTCCGCCTCGGCCAGACAGGCGCTGCCCCGAGGGGCTGAGCAGGGCTCCCTTGCTTCTCCTGCTCCCGGAGGGCACAGGGACCTAAATGGCAATCTGCTGTGTGCCGGGACAGCTGAGTAGTGCCTGGCCTCTCCAATGCCGGGGCGAATGGTCCAGCACCCGCCGCCCAGAGCAGAGATGCCTGGAGCCTGGCATGGCAGTTGCTGCCAGTCCATGGCTGGAAGCCCGAGAGAGCAGGGTCCATACCCAGGTCATACCAAGGCTGCAGCAGAAAGTGCCTCCGAGCAAGGAGACTGTGTTCTAAGAGCAAGTGCCTCTTTCTAAAACCAAAATAGTGTTCCCCCTTCACTCCAGACCCGGTGGCCAAATTATAGTAACTTCCTAGATCACGGAGAAGGAAAAAAGCCCCATTGCCAAGAAGAAAAACCACGCACAGCCTGGCGCGGTGAGTCACGGTGCCTGGAATAGCGCATCCGCCTCGCACGGGCAGGCCCAGCCTGAGCACCAGCTGCCACCAGGCGGGGGGTCTGGGCAGGTGGCTGACCAGTCATAACCGCCCCAGAGCCCATTCACGTCAGAGCACAGCCAAGGGCAGGAGCTGGGTAGGACACCAGGGCCCGGACCCACACACGGGCAGGAAGCCATGGTGGAATGGAGCGCGGCTCCCCTGCCGACTGCCACCCACAGGCTGCTGCGGAAAGGGGGGGGGCATGGTCAGACCAGACCGTGGCCCTCACATGGAGCACCGTGCCCTGAGTGCAGGCTTGCACTCTGATGCACAGGGCCTCCCTGGAAGCTGTGCCCATGGGCCTGACCCCTCTGGTAGAGTGACAGCTCCCAGGTCCCCAGACTGTCCCATCGAGGTCCTGTGGAGGCTGAGAAAGGCATTGTGTACCCCAAAGAGAAAAGTTTGTGGGCACAGGGGGTGTGGTCTACGTTGTGCAAATGGGCCATGAACCCTTGGCTCAGAGGCTGGGTGGCCAGGGGAGGTCACTGAAGGCTTGCTGGCTGCCCTTGGAGGGAGGAGCATCCCATCGCTAGAGGTATTCAAGTACATTGTGCACAAATTGTAGGACAGGAGAGTGACCAGGGTCCTCAAGGATCCTCTGTCTAAGTCCTGAGGAGGAATTTGGACTTGAACCAGCTGAATGCCAGCATTCTGAATGGAAGCCCAGGTCACCCTCTGGACGCTCCTGCTGCCTTCTGAAGAGCCGGCTGGGTGCCGGGGCTGGCATTGTGTGGGGCTTCCCCCCTGCACTGCAGCTGAGCCACCACGAGAAATGCCCGTGGGTCTCCACAAAGCCCCAGCACCGTCTCCAGGGACCGTGTGCCTACCACAGCTCTCACTGTCGGCCCTGTGTCCACCCTCTCACCCCCACCCCCCATTTCTCCCGAGAAAAGGAAATCCAGCGAGGAGAGGTGTCCAGGGTCATGTGCCTGCAAGCAGCTGAGTGGGGCTTTCCAGCTGGGATCTGGCCGACACAGTGGCTGGAGTCCCCCAAAGCCACCACCCACCTGTCCACTTCTGATGTCCCAGGTGGGGGAAGATTCCAGAGGTGGGGACTGGAGGAAGGACAGCAATGGATACAGGTTGATGGACGGGTGGGCGGGTGAGTGACAGGCACACAGCAAACAGGAGAGGCTGCAGGGAGGTGAGCACTGGACCGTGCAGAGCCTGAGCGAAGATGGAGGCTGGGTGCTGGAGAGGAAGCCACCCAGGCCACTGTGAGGCTGAGGGGAGGGCTGTGCTCAGCCTGTGCTCTAGGGAGCAATGGGATGGCTGGGTGGCCTTGGAGGGGACAGTGAGGAAGATACCAATGAGGAAAGGCCACTGCACACTGCCCTGGCGGTCATGAAGACCTGGCCCCAGGTGTGGCCGAGGTGCCAAGGGAAGAGATGGAGAGCATATGGAGGGACTGGGGACACCCGGGATGGGGGGCGGGCACGAGGGAGCCAGAGCAGACACAGGGACAGATTGGTGCAGGACATCAGGTGGGCACTCAGGAGGCAAGCCAGTCACTGTCCACTTAGGTTCTTAAAGCTCCCTGCCCCACCCCTCACTGACCAGCACACTTTGAGCTTAAGTTCCCAGCTTCCCCGGCGATGTGTGGGGCTGGTGGCTTCCCTGGCCTGGGCTGCCCTGCCTCTCCGTCAGGGTGTCTCCAGCAGGCCACACGCGTGGTGCTTTTGTGCAATCGGCCATCTACGAAATTCAGGGTGGCTCACCCCAGCACCTGGAGCACGAGAGCAGGGGCTGGCCCGGCACCAGCCCCGCGGGGTGCCCATCCTGGGCGGAGGCACAGCTGGCAGCAGACACTCCTGCGGAGTCACAGGTTCTCTGCTCGAGGGACAGGAATGGAATTAGGTTGTCCTTGAGAGTCTTCTCACCAGAGCCCCAGGGGTGGCTGGCCCTGAGCTGGCTCACTGAGGCAACGACAGGGTCTCCTTGTCAGTCGAGGAGTTCAGACGCTGCAGGTGGGGGGCGGCATAGTCGCCTCTCAGCCGACCAGCCCAGGGACGAGTGGCCTTCCCTTCCCCTCCCCCAGCGGCCAGTCCCCCACTTCCTTCTGCCCCAGGTGGTGGCTCTGCTGCCTCCTGGCAAGTTTGGCTCTTTCCCAGGGGAGCTCCTGAGTGTCATCCAAGCGTCTCCATGCGGGGCTGCCTGGGACACGGGAGCACCCTAGCTGGCCCTCAGCAGGTACTTCCCCAGGCTTCAAAACTCAAGAGGAGTGCAGGAGAGGCAGCAGAGTCTCCAGGAAGCTGCTCTTCCGCCAGGGCTCCTTGGGTGCCTCGGTGGGCAGGGCAGGGTTCACCCCAGGCCTCTGTGAGGGCAGAATTCCTGCCTCTTTCAGCAAGCGGGGGGCCAGGGCCAGGGAGGGCTGTGGTCGCCAGACCTTCAGACCTGGCTGTCTCCCTTGGTTTGCTAACAGAGCTTCGGAGGAGACGACCTTGACCGCCTTTGAAGCCATGAACTAGAGAGGAAGACCCAGAGAAGGAGAGCCGCGCAGAGGACCCTGAGAGCTCCAGGGCATGGGGGCGGCCCAGGCAGGGACCTCATGGCACCGCCTAACCGCAGCAGTGCCCACGAGGATAAGGGTCAGACTCCGGGATGGGGCAGCAGGGAGCTTGCAGCCCCGGGCCTTGGGAGGCCTGTGCCGGCCTGCAGCTGTCCCCGCCTGGAGCCCTGCGTTGCCAGGTGGGGGGCGGCTGGCTGGGAGGCGCTGCTCAGCAGCCCAAGACCAGCCTTATATTTAGGCGTAGTAGGTGGCTGCCTACGCGGTGCGATTTCACAGGCTCTGGGGGGCCCCTTCCAAGCCCCAAAATACCTCCTCCACCTGCTTCCTGCGTTGCCATCTGACCAGGGAACAGCTTTCCGGTCCCGGTTAGGCAGCAGTGGCTGCCCTGCTGTGGGCGCCAACGCCCGTCTGAGTCAGCGTCCAACCTGGAGCAGGAGAGCACGGGCTCTGAGTGGAAAGGCCACTTAAGGCCACGTCCAGGAGGGCCATGCCGAGCCCCCTCGGCCTCGGGTCCCCTGCGGAACCGTCAGGAGCCTGCGGTGCCGATTGGCAGGGCCTGCTGGGCCCGGCTCTTGCCAGTGCTAGGATGCTGAGGGCACCCCCCGCCCCCGCCCGGGACCCACGCATCCCACCCACGGGCCTGCGCCGTCCAGGAGAGGGCAGGAGCTGGGCAGCTCAGGCTGTGACCTGCTGAGGAGACCAGGGCAGTGTGGAGAGAGAAGAGCGTTTGATCTGAGGCGTTGTGGGTAGGGGTCTGCCAGGCAGTGAGGGGAGGAGGCTTCGGTGTGGTGGGAACAGCACAGGGCATGGCGCAAGCCGGGAAGGGGCGGGCACGGTGAAGGACCCAAGGGGACTAGGGGACAAGCGGAAAGCCAGAGAGCTGAGGCAGAGTGAGCGGCAGCCCGCCTTCTACTCCCAGTGGGTTTGTACAGTAGCCAGTGGCCCCTGGGCTCCTGTTAGGGCTGCAGCTTACAGCCATGACCCACTGCCCGAGCTGCAGGTGACCCCCAGGTGGACGGAGAGCTCTTCAGAATGTGAGGGGCGCCTGGAGGGAGGACTGGGGCTCACAAAGGGTGGACACCTGGTGGAAGGCACCCCGCCTCTCCCCCTCTCTCAGACCCCAGGTACCACAGGACTTGGTGCAGGCAGAGCCACCAGGACACTTCGTCTGCCCTCGGTGTTCTTATTGCACAACCGTGAAGCAAGCCCATTTTTATTCAAGTAAAAATAGGTACAGAGTCTCTTGGAACCTGGAAGTCCCTTCTCTTGGCCACTTGCTGAGGCTGAGCACTGGGGACCACATCATCACCACATGTCCTCCATGGCTGGCTTACACAGAGGGACGGCACCACACATGTGCCGTGCCTGGTCCATGGGGCTGGGGGGGCCTTCTCGAGTCAGCCTCAGTAGGAAAGTGTCATTCTCAGTGGCTGCACAGGACGCCAGGTGAAGCCTACGTTTGTCCTGCTATGGGTATGATGTTCTTTTAAGTGCTACTTAAAAATCTCTCTGTTTGTGATTGTCGGTTGCTAACATGGATAAATTCTGTGCATTGACTGTTGTGGGCTGAACTGGGTCCCCTCTACCCAAAGTTCATATATCGAGGCTTTTACCCCAGTGTCTCAGCATAGGTGTGTATTTGGTGATGAGGCATTTCAAGAGGAGATTGAATGAAAATGAGCTCATTAGAGTAGGCAATCAGTGTTACTGTCGTCCTATAATTAGAGGACACTTTGACAAACACGGGCACAGAGGAGAGATGCCCTGAGGACACAGGAGAAGGTGGCCATCTGAAGCCAAGGACAGCCCCGGGAGGAACGACCCTGCTGACACCCTGGACTTGCCGCCCGCAGGACTGGGAGTGGACCTGCACTTCAAGCTGCTGGCCTGGGGCCCTTCACGGAAGCTGGGAACCGATGGCTCATTTATTAGATCTGGTGGCTTTTGAGGTATTCCTAGGCGCCTTCCCCCTGGACACTCAGCTGGGGCTGCTGGAAACCACCCTGCTCTCCCTGTCGCCTGCTGTGCTCCTCCTCCTTCCCGCCTGCTCGCCTGGCTTCTCGCTGGGTAGGAGCAGGTGCCCGCTGGAAGGAGGTGGAAAGGGTGCGGGGTGGCGGGGGGGGGGGGCCTTGGCCTCTTTACACCATCTAAGGGCCTGGCCTTCACTTCCTCCGCTGGCTTGGCAGACCCAAGGCTCCGTTGGCAGGTGGCACCTGTGGCTCAAGAATCACACTAGTGGAGGGTCCAGGCCCCTGAGCTACCTTTCCTGAACTTCCTTCGAGGGGGCACAGCACCAGACAGCAGAGTGGCCGGGAACAGCAGCCGGGCGACTTGCTCCCTCGTTGCAGCTGTGCTGTGAGGTGCCCACGGCACGCGTGGTGAGCCGGGCCTGGGCACGCTCACCCGCCCGTGAAACCTGGTGTGCCTCTCCTGGAGGGGAGAGGGAAGCCCGAGGCCTGAGACACGTTCCCGAGGGCGTCTGCACATCTGCTGGCTGAGGCTGGCTGGGTCAGGATGGGCTCTGACCCAGGACAGGACGTCCTCCCTGCAGGCCGCACACGGTGTCTAGGCCCGCCCATGAGCTCTCAGCCCCTCAGCCCCTCAGCCCGCTGTGCTGTAAGGAATCCTCTTGGCCCCGAGGACGAAGGCTCGGGTCCTTAATTGCTCAAGGAGATGAGACATTTTCTGCTTGAAAAGAAAAGAGAGAATAAACCCGGCCCTCCTCCACCCCAGCTCCCTGCCTCTGCCAGGTCTGCTGCTCCCGGCCCTCCCTTCCTCCCCATGGTGGGGAGACAGAAAGGCCTTCTGAGGTGGTGGCCGCTCTTCTGCCTCCGTATTAAGGATTCTCAAAGGTCAAACAAGACAGAGGGGAGCTAACTGCTCAGTTCCGAGTCTTCAAGGTGGGGAGGCTGGCCCCCCTCAGCGTCAGTGGGACTACCGAGTGAGTTCAACAATCCACACAGGACGCTTGGGATGCTGGGAGGCCACTGAGGATGCCCCCAAACTGCCTTGCCTCCCACGATTGCTCCCCGCCCACCACCTCCCCCCATCCGTTTCCTTGCCACCTCCCCCAGCTCAGGTCTGCCACAGGGCCTTTGCATGGTTCTTCTGGCAGACATTTGGCTCCCTGGTGCCCTCGCGGTTTGCTCTCCTGTGTCATCTAGGTCTGTGCTCGGCCACCCCTCACAGAAGGCCCTCCGGACCTCCCCACTTCGCTTTCAGCCCCCACCCTTGTTTCCCTGCCCTCCCCCTGCTGAACCCCTTCCAGAACCTGTTCCCCACCACCTAGACCACGAGCCCTGCACACAGACTTCCTTCCTGCTGAGTCTCCAGTGGAGACAGCCTCCCCTGGCATGCAGTAGGCATCAATCAGTGCTCTTGAGAACTGGTTGGGAGGGCCCTTGCCTGTCACCCCGTCTCCGGGCTGCCAGTCATCTGGCCAGAACTGACCACGGCGCTGACTGCAAAACTACGCAGCAGTCCCCACAGAGGCCGAGGAGGCCCCGCCATGGTGTCTTGCCTGGACCCCAGCTGGGCCCTGGGGCCTCCCAGTGGGCTTCGGCTGGGGTCTTGTTCCAGAAGTCTCTGTGGCCCAAAGCCCAGGCCCTCAGGCTTGAGGAGGGTGAGGTTTCTGTCAGTCACGGCAGGCCTCCGGGGGCTCTGTCCAGGAGCGGCGGGGTGCACACACCTGGGGGCCCTGCTCCTCCTCGGCTTTGTTCTCAGGCCCCTGGCTCCCCTGGTGGAAGCTTCCGTTCCCCTCTGTGCACTGTGGGGGGTGGGCACCCCTGCCATGTGAGCCTGAGCCCCTCTCCCCGCGGCTGGCTGGGGTGGCGGTACCTACAGTGGGGATCTGAGTGGGCGGTGGCAGCCCAGGAAGGACACATGGGGTGATCTCACAGGCAGAGCCTAGGCCTGCGCCCCTCGGCCTGGCGGAGCGAGTCACAGGGTGTGGCCCTGGGCCTTCTCTTCTGGGGTGGGCCTGTATTGCCACCCCCGCCTGTCCTCAGCAGAGAGAAGGGGAGCTTGAAAGTCACCAGGAAGGCGAGTTGGCAGCCCCATCGCTGCTGTGGCTCCTGCCTGCTCTCCAAGGTGACTCCAGAGGCCCTGACCCCTGAGCAGAAGGCCTCAAAGGGCCTTGGTGTCTCTCCAGGGGACTGGGCGTGTCCTTGCATCCTGTGCCTGCCCGGCTGTGTCTCTGCAGATTCTCGGAGCCTCAGGCTTAGCAGGGCTCCCGACAAGCTCAGCAGCCCTGGGTGACCAGGGTCCTCCGTGACAAGCTCAGCAGCCCTGGGTGACCAGGGTCCTCCGTGACAAGCTCAGCAGCCCTGGGTGACCAGGGTCCTCCGTGACGACACGCTCAGCAGCCCTGGGTGACCAGGGTCCTCCGTGACAAGCTCAGCAGCCCTGGGTGACCAGGGTCCTCCGTGACACGCTCAGTAGCCTTCAGATGCCCTTGAGGTGAATGGGGGCAGCTCTGGAGCAGTGGGAAATGGTGGCTCGAGTCTGGGAGGCAGAGCGGCCCCTGCCCTCTGCCCGGGTCCCTGGTCATGCAGAACACAGCAGCACCTTGGGCCTGGGCGTGGGCACAGCTGCTGGGGGCCAGGCAGACCCTTCCCTGTGAACAGGCGGACCCCAAACGAGGCCAGCAGCTGGAGGAGTTGGGAAGAGGGAAGAAGAGGCTGGGAAGCAGGAGGGGTGGGCGGCGAGGCCGGGAGGACCTGAGGTGGGGTCCGACCCCCGAGCTGTGCAGCCTTCCGAGTCCTGGAGAAGTCTCTAGGGCCCCTATTTGGGGCCCTGGGGGTGACTGGAGAGCCTGGGCAATACCCCCACCCCACAGACCCTGGGAGTGGGGTACTGAGGCCCAGAACAGCAGCCAGTGGGCCAGATAGGCAGGAACTCGGGGTGCCAGCTCCCCGTCACTGCTGTGGCGGGCAGGGGTGTGGGTGGGCAGCAGAGGGGCCCAAGCCCCACACCAGCACCAGGACAGCCTCTGTGTCAGAGGCAGGGGGTGAGGTGGTCTTAGGGGAGGAGGGCTGCTGCCCAGAGAGAGGACGGGTCGGTGTGGGTGAGCGTGTGTGGCCGTGGGCTCATGGGTGTGCATGAGTGTACGAGGGACCTTGGGGGTGTGTGCGGGTGTGCAGACGCGGGTGGGGCTTGTGTAAAGGCCTACAGCAGGGGTGGGGCGTCCAGGGAAGTGAGTGGACAGAGGGGCGCAGGCCTGGGCTGGGGCCTGGCCTGCTGCGTGGAGTGGGTGGGCTCCACATGCCCTAGGAGGGCCCAGGGGCTGAGAGAGGAGGTCAGCGGGCTGCTAGGACCACCAGGGCCCCCGTGTGTCCCTTTAATTAAGTGTCAGATTCTACAGGAAAACGGGCCACCGGCAAGAGGGTGTGGAGGCGCAGGGGTGGGACGCCTGTGTTTGCGGGTGGGGAGCAACGTGTGCCCAGGGGCCTGTGGACTGCGCGTCCACAGGAGACTGAGTGCATGGGCCCCGCAGGCCAGGAGGCCCGAGGGGTCTGTCCGATGAGAAACCATCCACCTCCCCTCCCTGCTCCTTCCTCCACGGCAAGCTGAGCTCCGCTGCAGGCCTGGTCACGGGCAGGTCATCGGGACGCTGGGCCACCTAGAGGAGGCGCAGGGGAGGCCTGGCCAGTCCAGCCGCAGCGGGCGGCCGCCCCCAGACGTGGCGTGAAGCTGCAGGCGGGTGAGGCTGCGGCTGACTGCTCCTGAGGGACCAGGATTCTGAATGCAAGAGGGGACGCGGGCCATTATGCCTGAGCTTATGCAGGAATAATGAGGGAGAAGACTGTAACGGGCCAGTCAGCGTCTGATAAAGGGAAATTTATTCAGTGCGTTCCAGAGAAGCCTGGCGCTCGCTGGTCTTAAAACAAGTGTGCCTCCTGCCAGCCTGCACTCTGACAGAGGCCACCGCTGCGGGGACCGCCAGCCCCGGCCGCAGCCTCCCTAGGTCTCTAACGAGCAGCCGGGGCCAGGCTGACAGGAGCCTGGCTGGTGGGGGCGAGGGCAGGGACAGGGGGCAGTCAGGCCCCGTCCTCCACCCGGGGCTTCCTGAGGCGGCTTGGCTGGCCGTATCCTGGACGGGTGTCTCCTGAGGGTGGGAGGGCGCAGCAGCGGGACCTCTTCCTGCTGAGGAGGGGGTGACCCTGAGGGCCGTCATGGGAAGTGGGAGCTCCCCTCTGCCAGATCGAGGGGCTCCGCCCTGGTTCCATCCCTGCAGTCTGCACCCCCTGGCTGTGTGCGGACAGCAGCACCTGGAGCCAGAGGCTGGACCCCCTCTCCCATTGGGGTGCCCCTTCCGAGCACCTTCTGGGGAGAGTGAGAAGGGCCCTGGGAAAGGCCTGGCCATGCCACCTGGACAAGCAGCCTGTAGGAGTTCAGGGCCCGTTCTGAGGTGGGGAGAGAGGAATCTTGTGGACAGAGGGCATCACAGAGCCCCAAAGGCAGGAGCAGGACACACCTCTGCGGGTGGGGACCTGAGGGTCCAGCACAGACAAAGGGGGGCTTGGAGCTAGATGGACCTATGTGATCAGCAGGCGCTGTCCTCCCCAGGTGTGGGACCCCATCCTGTCCAGGAGGCACTGTTGGGGGAGAGGGCACCGGGGCCCCGCCTCTGCATGCCCTGCATGACCTCCGTGCAGGTCAGCCACTGCTCCTTCCTGAGCTCCAGGCCCTGACAAGGAGCGAGCCACCTCCTCCTGGTCTCCATCCTACCTCCCGGTGGACCCCCAGAGAAGGGCTGCCACCTGGAGCCACCTGTCCAGGGCCTGGGCCTGCTCCTTCATGGGCATCCCCTCCCACCCGGCTTCTCCACGCCGCTGAAAGAACAGTCCTTCCCAGGGTGCTTCTTGCCCTCCCTCCCCTGTGTGCTGGCCTGGGGCGTGGGCCTTTCCTCTGAGGGCAGTGTTGGGGCTCCCCTTCCTTGTCCACCTCCCTCACTCCAGCAGGACCCCGCTCCTCTGGCCTGAGGTCCTCTCCTGGACAGTGGCTCCTACTGGGTGAGCCTCACAGAGCCACCTGGCAGAGGCCCCAGGGCAGATCTGCTGAATGCGTGAGAACTTGAACCCCGAGCACACCACATTCCCCGGAGACTGCTGGCCTCCAGCCAGGGGGCTCCGGCTGCCCAGGAGCCTCCTCCAGCCTGCCCACTCCTGGCATCCTGGGTGGGTCTGGTGCCGTGGGCCCTTCCTCTCCTGGTCAAATGGACTAGTCCTTGGCAGGTGTGGCCTGGGACCCCGCAGCACCCTGCCCTCAGTGCCTTCTGAGTGGCTCCTCCAGCCCCTCACAGAGGCACATTCTCCTAACGGGACTCCGATTCCATGAGAGGGCATTTGTGTCAAGGAAGCCATCATGTGGCTTCAGGTGGAGGGGCCCCTCCTGCCGCCCATAAGCAAAGGGTCCACGTGCACCTCTGGGCTGCAGGAGCTACAGCGTGAGCTGGGGTGTGTGTGTGTGCACGCGCGCGAGTGTGAATCTGCACGTCTGCGCATGTGGTAATCTATTTCTAAAACATGACCCCAGCGACCTCATGGGGAACATCAATGAATATTTACTACCTTACTTATTTTTTTTTCCCTAAAAAAAAAAAGTAATTTTGCTGTCTGGTTATTAAATCTATTTTTATTGCTACAAAAATCGCTTCCCATCCATGGAGAGGAGGGCAGCCCGGTGCTCCACACCTGGCAATTTGCTGCCGCTGGCCTTCCTTTTCCTGGAGTGGGGGCCCTGACCCCTGTCCCTCCCAGGTCAGCTGCAGTAGGTGGGGTGGCTTGGGCTGAGCAGGCCCCTGGGGGGAGCCCAGCGCACAGAAGCAAAGTGAGGGCTCCCTGCACACCTGGCAGGTCTTGCAGGGAGGGTCTCAGGGGCTCAGTGTGGGGCTGGGACCCGCCGTGGCCTGCTCCTCTGCAGGAGGCCTGGCCTCAGGGGCATTGGGGGCTTCTCTGATGTACCTGCTGACCTAGATGCACCCCGACTGTCGAGGCCATGCAATGCCCACAGCCTGTCCTAAGGGACAGTGCACTGGGTACGCTGCTGGACCTCAGCCCAGAGGAGCCTGTGGTGTTGTCCACTGCATGCCCCAGGGGAGGGTGAGCAGGACAGGAAGCACCAGGCAATGCAGCCACCCCTCTGCTCACAGCTGGGGACTCCTCATCTTTTTTCTGCCAGCCATTGGCCCCCAGAGTTGCCAGCGTCTGCCCCAAGGACCCAGGGATGCGGCGTCTCCAGTCGAGTGGTTGGGTCCCCCCTCTGTGTCCATCTGGCCCCTGTGTCAGCCCTATAAGGCCCAGGACCCAGAGCTCCTCCTGCTGCCCCCAAAAGCCCAGCCCAGCCCAGGACACTGGAGACACAGACTGTCACCCCACCCCATCAGGCATGGCTTCAGGGCCTGGCACAAATACATGGATCCTAGTCCCAGGGGCTGAGTGGCCTTGGAACCCAGGCCTCCCACGGGGCAGGTGTGTCTTCCCCCACATCAGGGAGGGTGGCCTCATACCAGGTGAGTGTCACACAAGGGCCCTTTCTGTTTGCATGTGGGGATTGAATCCTAAGAACAGACTGAGCAGGAGGAACTATCGCTGTTTCTATTGCAGATGAGGAAGCTGAAGCCCAGGAAGGTCCAGGGAGGCCCAGGAAGGTCTAGGAAGGTCTAGGAAGGCTCAGGAAGGCTTAGGAATGCCCAGGGAGGCTTAGGAAGGTGCAGGAAGTTGCAGGAAGGTCCAGGAAGTCTCCAGAAGGCCCATGAAGGCTCAGGAAGGCTCAACAAGGCTCAACAAGGCCCAAGAAGGCCTAGGAAGGCTCAGAAAGGCCCAGGAAGGTCCATAAAGTCTCAGAAAGGCTCAGGAAGGCCCAGGAAGGCCCAGGAAGGTCCAGGAAGGCTCAGGAAGGCCCAGGAAGGTCCAGGAAGGCCCAGGAAGGTCCAGGAAGGTGCAGCAAGGTCCGGGAAGGCCCAGGAAGGTGCAGGAAGGCCCGGGAAGGCCCATGAAGGCCTAGGAAGGTGCAGGAAGGTCCAGGAAGGCTCAGGAAGGCCCAGAAAGGTCCAGGAAGGCCCAGGAAGTCTCAGGAAGGCCCAGGAAGGCTCAAGAAGGCCCAGGAAGGTCCATAAAGTCTCAGGAAGGCTCAGAAAGGCTGGGACAGGTCCAAGAGTCAAAGTGCAGATGACTGGGAACAACTGACAGACTCTCCATCTTCTGTTGTCTTCCTGGGGGCCAAACCATCCCTCTTGTTACCGAGGGCCTGTACAGTGGAGGCTCTGTCCACAGGCTGTGTGGGCCTTGCCGTCCCTAGATGTTGGAAGGACAAAGTAACACTGCCCATGGCCCTGTGTAATGACAGTGGCACCAGGAGACAGTCCTTGTGGCTGTGGTGACAGAGGGGACCCAAGCGGCTGCTGCCTTATGCAGCCACCAGTTGTCCCCAGGTTGCAGGCACCGCTGGTGAAGGCCGGCTCCAGAGCCTCACGCCATCGGCTGTGGTTTGGATCTTAAGGCCAGTGTGGTAAAGACTGGTCCCCCCTGGGTGCCACTGGGAGGCAGTGGACCTTTGCTGGGAGGCCTGGGGTCCCTCGGGCATGCTCTTCAAGAGGAGCGAGGGACCCCATCTCCTCTCCCACTCTGCCTCTCCGTGTCCCATCCAGGCCTCAGGCAGAGGCTTTGCCACCATGTGCCTCCAGGGAGCCCTTCAGAGCCCACAGCTCTGCACACCTTCCCTCTCTATAGCCAAGCGCTCATACCTGCTGTGGTGACAGAAAGCCCACTCTCACGCTACCAGAGCCCAAGCCTCAGCCGCCCCACGGCACCTGTGGGTGACAGCCGAGTGACAGGCAAAGCCAGGTCATCGGGGGCCGATGCGTTTGACCTTAAGTTACATCTTCTGTTCTGTGTGTCCTTCCTTACCTAAAGCACTGTGGTGACGTGGGCATTTGGGAAAACGTGTTGGTCATCTCTCAGCTGCTGGCCCCAGCCACGGCCAGCTCTGCCCCACTGAGGACAGTGCTACCCACTATGATCCTCACTCAGGTTGGGCCTGGAAGGGGCTGCAGTGTGACAGGCCACCTCCTGCCGTTACATTGTATCGTGTCACACGTCATCTCAGGTCCTGTCA